AGCATTTCTTTATTTGTATCATCTTCCTCCTAACTTTAACGACTTCTCGTAATTTTCTAGGGTCACATACAGCAGAGACCGTGGTAATAATCTAGTGCATTCAAGGAATTTCCCTCCTGAGATACCTATGAATGCACCAAACTATAATGAGTTTACTTTGTTAAGTAGTTTTGCCTTTCATTAGGGCTCATGATTTAGCTAGTCTCCTCGCCTCTGAGTATGCGATGTGCTTCATTTTAATTTCGGTGTATTTGCGTCTTTGCCCTTAGCATTCCTTGATAATTGATAATTTAAAAGACGAAGACGCAAAGGTAAAGCAGAGGGTTGTGAAGGTGAACCCCATGATACCCAGAAAGTGTCTTCTATTTTCATGATACTGAGGAGAATTTCAGTTTAAGTGGGTTGGCAGTAAATCCAACAACTGACAATCACTGTTGGCAGAAGTGTGGCAGAGAACTCGAAGGGAAAGGAGAAGAAAAATGGGAAGAGTAATAGAATGAAAAGGTTGTCCTGGAGGAGGAGGTCTGACAGTGTTCTGTAACCAAAAAGTGGAGTCCCTTTCATCAAATTCTTATATTATGCAACTGCTTGAGGGCATGAGTGGATGCACTGCTAAATTCTTCACGCGACTGGTAGAGCGGTTGTGGTGCCAGAAACCAGTTGTAGGTAGTCTGTTAGTTAGATCACTGACAGTTCCGCAACAATGAAATGATGGTTATTGTGGGTTGATTCACAAGTGGAGAAGATACGTGACCTAAGGTGAGGAAAGCAACAAAGACCACTCGATCGGTAACCAGGCATTTGGCAACCACATTACTAAATAGGAATTAGAAAATGTATTCGAGAAATCAAATTGCGGTGACTACAGGAATAGGTATGCATATCGTCTCGTCTTCTGAAGGCAAAATTCCAAGGGATGTTAGCAACGTCAGGAATTGCACCCTTGTCAAATGTTATGGAAGCTTTTGAGCAACAGTTAAACCTAAAACATTCAAAAAATTGCTTATATTGCGCTTTTGTTGACCTATTTCTGTAGATTAATATAAAGGAGGCAAAGCTTATACTTACCAATCTTCACAAACAGGTCAAGATCATTCCGGGTGCTACATGCGCACAGGAGTGGCCATGCAGGGACTCAAAACTTAAGCAATCCTGACAGCAAATACTTGAAAAAACACACCGTGCGAATATTGTGCGCATAGTGCTTGGAACACAGACCTCACTTTCCTAAGTTTCATCCCTTAAATTACTCGGATTGGTAACTCAGTAGAACCCAGGCACATTGTTACCAACACTGTTGCACGCAACAAGGCGTCACATGAGAGTGCGGTTGTGGAGCAGTCTTACAAAGCCATTTGCTTGTCCATTATGCCATTACTACCATCTTGATGGAGTCTTGCAGTACAACTCACTTGCTCATACCTGTCGACGAATAAAGGCGCCTGTGTTGAGACCGTTGGCATGAATGACTAGGTTAGGGAGCTAGACTGGTATCATGCTCAGTCTTACGAGCATTAGTGAATTATAAGACACAAAACAGTATCTTTTAAAAGACTTAGGAAAGCTGCTCTTGGTAGACGAAGTGAATAACAATGTAAATCACTCTCAACTTTGATGCAGAACTGTGATTTGTTAAGCTGCTTTGTATAAAGGTGTTACTTTTGTAAATGAATATAATATATTATTAAGACTTGGTGTTTACATGCATAAGCACGGATTCAATCGAGTTCCTAAGCCAAGTTTCCAAGAGAGCAGTGCTTCAACACAGTCACATTCAATCGTCAAAGGGGAAAAGCAAGAGAGTGGTACATTATGTCATCCTGAAGATAATAGCGGTGACGCCAAATTTTCATGAATGCTGCTGCAACATTTTCTGCATAATGTTATGAGGAAACATCAAAACGTGTTACACGTACTTTCTAAGGAATAGTTGCCATTTGTGCTTACATTTTCGTTCATTGCATCGACGGTGCTATCTTAGAATAATGGTACAACGCAGAAGCTCGTGGTTTGTGCAAGGGGGAACAAATGCCGCCTAAAGTGGTTAAAAAATTGGCGATTTATAAAATTTCATAAATTTCATGCAACAACACTTGTCTGCTTACGCTTCCTGATAATACGATTATTACAAACCCGCATAAAATGGTAAGAGAAATTTTTAGGCTTTTAAAGTGTGAGATGGCAATAGCCAGTTAATTAGGCAAATGCTTCAAATATCCAGTACATAAGTGTTATCATCCTAACTATGGAAAAAAGTACATCTCTTGTCCATTCCACACAATTTATTTACCCAGCAACATTGTTGTAAGATTCAGGAGACTTCCCTTGCGATAGTGTAGCGCTGGTTAAATAAGTGTTTTTTACATCACTAGCAGTGCCAAAGAATCCGAAAACTTACCGTAAAGTAACAGGAGGTGGATGTGTTACCTTCTACCAGCATTTTAATAGAAATAAATTACGACTAATACGGTGTATTAACAAGTGTATGCCCGTTGAACTGATATGAGAATTTTACGCTTTCAGCTA